CGCTGCGCGGCTGGTGGAAGGCGGGAGAAAACAGGACGCAGCTGCACGGGTAATACTGCTTAGCAGATTACAGAATGGTGAAGCAGTTTAAACATCTGACCGACGACCCGCTATTTTTTTATTTAGTCTCGTCTCGTTGATGAAAACTCCAACCTATGGTTCGTCAAGTTTTAGTCATCAAAGATCCATGTTTGTAAATGCAGTAAGTGAGTGTAGAGGGGATCTACAAAGCATAAGATGTGCAAACATGTTGGCTCCGTTCCTTAAATGAGAAAATTGCATGTGCTACTGGCAGATGGTAAGAGACAGTAAAAGAAAGATGAGGTTGTAAGCCATGGAGATAGAGATAATGATAATTTTTTTAAAAAGTGATAACTATTATGATGGAGAGTGGCGCAGTGGGTACCTCTGCTGCCTTGCAGCAAGAAGGTTCCAGGTTTGATTCCCGGCCCAGGGTCTTTCTGCGTGGGTTCTCTCTGGGTACTCTGGCTTCCCCCCACGGTCCAAAAACATGACTGTTAGGTTAATTGGCTTCTCTAAATTTTCCTTAGGTGTGTTAATGGTTGTTTTTGTGTTGCCCTGCGATGGACTGGCGACCTGTCCAGGGTGGATCTACAGTATCTCCTCTCGCCTATCTCCTGTCGCTGGAGATAGGCACCAGCACCCCTCGCGACCCCACTTGGAATTAAGCGTATAAGAAGATGGATGGATGGATGGAGAGTATTTTTTATAGAGCACTTAATGTAGATATCTTAGAGTGATACAAGCAAAACAAAGATAACATTTAAAAGATTAGATATCACTCATAAAACCTGAAATAGTTGACTCATGCCTACAACCTCCCTCTAACAGAGAAGGAGCCGCAGTCAGATTTACAGCCAGATTACGCTCTAAACACCTGGAATTACCTTCACCAACTCCTTACAACACCTAACTGACATTGCAAGCCATGGTAGGCCCATGATTTAATGAAACATAACTTTGCGTCTGTCTTTGTACCGATGCTTTTTTGGTAGCGACAGCGAATGTGGAAATTTTTATTTGTGAGTTTGCATCTGACTTAAACCTGATTAAAAAGATGCCAAAACTGCACCTATTCGATATGATAAGTAAGTATTAACATTTGCATATCCTCCACTCAGAATTTTGTGTAGTGTGGTCATTTGAAATTGACCTGCATATCCGTGAAGTTACACATGCAAAAAAGTTTATGCCTAATGACTCACATTCAATACAAACAGCGTCTTCTTTGAAGATCTGCTCTGTGTGCAAAGAAGTTTCCTGGCGTTATAGTTGAAATTCACGCCCTTAGAGCTGCTGTATAATATTAAATTAAATTAAATGAACTCACTTTTTCTCTTTTACTTTTGTGAGATTAAGTGTAACAAGTGTAACAACATCATTGTCTAAAAATCCACAACTATATTCTGATAATAGTTAAATTACTTATGAAGTTTTATAATTTTAGCATTTTTGTGAGGCCTTATGCACTATAGTGTTATCACACTACAGCGCTCGGTTGGATAAATGTAAAGCCCCTCTCTGTTGTCAGACAATTCAGACAGGCTCTCTGCCACCAAAGGAAATGTTGATTACCGGCAAGCAAAAGATAGCCCCCAAACTGATATCCCTAAGGAGAACTGTTAAGACTTAGGTGGATATGGAGTCTCTTCCGCTCTCTATGCTGTGCTATTTCAGAATCAAAGTGCTCACTATTCATATATTATTCAACATGTTTCACTCCACTGTTTCTCTTCTTGTTCGCACACAAACCATTTACTCCCATCCCACTTGGTGGAGCTGTATGTATTTTTGGATTCACACATCCCCTCTGCTGATCTGTAGTGGCCCTTCTATAACTCTGTGGCCCTTCAGTGTTGTGTTCGCTCAAATCGTTTTGTGAAAAGAACACACTTTTATCAATTTAACATTTTTTAAATTTCTCCATATTTGAGAACTGTTTAAATTATTGATTTATTTGTTGTAATTTTGATTTAAAATAAACTCATCAATCAGAGATGCTGTAAATATTGCCACATGAATACTTTTATATACTTTAACTAACTTGAAATGCATTTATATATTTTTAGACAGTGTGAGGAATGGAATCTGGATGAGTAGGTAGGTGATAGGTAGGTGAACTAAATCACTTAGTGACCGGTAGAACAGACAGGTAGCGGGCTAGGGAGGCAGGTGCAGGCAGATCCAGTCTGTGACAGGCTGATTGCAGACTTGAGAAGGGAGGCAGTGACTTAATAGCCTTGAAACAGGCTTAAAGCAGGTGGAAAATGGCTGACAAATTGGGAGCAGGCCGAAATAGTCTAGAACAGAACCAGCATTTGAAGCTGCAGAGACTCCAGTGAGGGCAGGCCAAGCACAGGAGTTCAGGAAAACTGGTAATGCACACAAACACTTTAGCGATCCTCATATGGAAAAAGAGGAGACAATCTCCTTGCCCATATGTATACATAGGCAAAATAACAGCTGAGAGGCATGAGGGATATTTGGAGAGTGGCAGGTGCATTTGCTCACTCTAATTAGGCAACTGGAGAAAAGCAGGGAGAGCTCTTGAAAAACAAACAGATAGGATTCTCCTCCCTCCTGCAAAGGGGAATTCCAGACCCCCCCCCCCAAAAAAAAAAACAAAAACAAAAAACAAAAAACAAAAAAAAAACAAAAACATTTGAACAGAGCAGATTGGAGTCTAACAACAAAAAACCCTATCTAGACAGGGCTGGTCCAAAAACATAAACTAAGACCAATGACCAAGAAGTCATTCCCTACCATGACAAGGTCAGGGGTCTGTTCATAGAGAGCAGGATCTTTGGCAATTGCCCCTGAGGCTGTTCATCATGAGGCAGAATCTCTTGTGGGCACTGGAGGCTGATGGTTTTCATCAGCAATAGAACAGGCACCTTAGAAGCTTGAGTTGTGGCTAAGGCTTGAGTCGTTGTTGAATCTTGAATCTTGGATGAGGCTTGAGACCTGAAAAAAGGCTTGGGCTTGGGTCAGAGGTCTAGAAATGTAACTGGTTTGGGATGGATGACTGGAAGCTCGATAGGCCCAGACTGTGGCTTGGATATCCCTGAAACATAATGCATAGGTCAATGGAGCTCTGGTGTAAGTTCAAGGACAGAACGAAACTTTACCTGGATTTCAACCTCAAAGACTTGGGTCAAAACATTGTGAATCTCCAGATCAGATAAGCATGTTGAAGCCCTCTGTGCTTGGACAACACCTAACTACATTTAAATCATCGCTGATCTCACTAGGCCTTGTTAAGATTTATGATTTAATAATAGGTAACAGACTGAAATGCATTTGAACTTGCCATGGTGAAAGTTATTTGTAGTGAAGTAGGGATATGACAACAACTTTTCAACTTTTAGAAACACTACATTGGAAGCATAGCCAAATATCAAAACTCACATTAATGCAAATTATTTTGAGGTGTCCAAATCTGCCAAAAGTATATTTGTCTTAAGGGTAAATTCTCTGTTAATGAAACCTAGATTGTATAAAAGAAATGAGAGCAATACTGCATAGTAGGACAATTATTATCTGAGTCACGTAATCACAAAAAATATATTTAATCAACTAAAAGGCCTTAAGAAACAAACATGAAATCTGAAGGGGGTTTTGAAAGGTTGGAGAATTAACATTTGGATTTAATTAGTTGATAAAAGAGCTAATTGTATTAAATAGTATTTTCTCTGGAGAGATAAACTGACAATTTACATGCATAATCGGAACTATATAAATATCTGATTTAACTTGGGGACAAATTTGGAAAGGAAATGAATGACTCGAAGGTCTGACAAGTTTTGATGCTTAAAAAAACAACTAAGATTAACTGTTGAGATTTCTCTCTCTTAGTCTTGCCACCTATTAAAACTCCACCGTAAACTTTTAGTAGGAATATTTCAGCATGCATCTAAATAAATTTGTGGTAAGAATGTTTCTTTTGAAAAATGTCATGGTCACACTCATTGGAATGAAAGGATTTTAAATTGGCCTGTACCGTACTCTACTAAGTCCTTTATAAAGTCCCGGGACCCAAAGCACTTAGCACTACATGTACTTATACATCCATTCATATGCTGATCATTGCAAGCTACATTATAACCACATCTGCCTTGAGGCACACCAACATATAATCGGCAACAATGGCATCAGGCTCTATGACCAATAACAGCAGGCGATGAGGGTGATGCATTTTGCCCAAGAACACGACTGAGAGGACAGAGAGGGTCTTGAACCAGCAACCCACTGCTTACTGGAACCTCCTAAACCACCATTACCATAAACAATGATGTAGTAGTTCAATTTAATATGGTATTTTTAGTTTTTTTGGTCAGATTATTAAATGGGTTCACTTAAACTAAAATGTATGTATTCAGTTTTTTGAATGATTTTAGATTTACTTTAAATCATGTCTGCAGCGTGTTAAGACAACAGCGTTGTGAATTATGCAAAACGAAAAAGCAAAGATGTGCAAGTAGAAAAAGAAAATAAAACAATTTATTTGCATAGCAATGTGTGCTGTGTTCATCACTTGTCACTGTAGTCAAACAACCTCTCAAACGCCTCCTTGTAAATCACTTGCAGATGTTTCTTTTCCAAGCCATGACTCTCCACACAACATAGCCCGGTGGCCGCTGCATGCCTGTCACTGCCTCCAGTATAGTCCTTCTGACAAGGCTTTGAAAGGGCATATTTAATGACCTCTCATTATCATCTCTCTGAGGAAATCATTCCCAAGCTGCCTCTACTTCACTGATGAGGCCTCGGAGGATTTTGCTGATGTTGTTTCCACTTCCTCCATACTTCCTTCTAATGCAACACAGTCCTGAAAGTTCTTTTTTGTATGAATGCTCTTCCATCACCCAACTGTAGCTAAAGGGTTATTTAGGCTGTCCTCTCTCTGCAGTACCTCTTCCTTCTTATTTCTGTTTTGTTGATCTGTTTGATTTCTTTTCATTTTTCTTCTTTTTCTGCAGAATGATACCTGGTCTGAACTCTACTCCTTTGCAGTCTTTAAGGCAATGAGCCACATGCTGTGCATTGGTTATGGCCGGCAGGCCCCGGAGAGTCTATCAGATATCTGGCTAACGATGCTGAGCATGATTGTCGGAGCGACCTGCTATGCTGTCTTTATTGGCCATGCAACAGCTCTGATTCAGTCCCTGGACTCATCAAGACGTCAGTATCAAGAAAAGGTGAGGCAACAACCATGACCCATGTCCTCAACACTACATTTTTTTTATGAATACACTTCCAAACCTGTGCTTACATTATTTTCCTTTCAGGAGATTCAGTTTTGAAATCCACCAGAATACTTTGTCTTGCATCCATTTGACAATTAGAAATGACAAATAACAAGCTACTAGGATAAAAAGCCTCCTGTGCATACAGCAAAACTCGGCTTAAAAAGGCAGAAAATACATTTTGTCTTTCTTTTTGTTAAATGCAAAACAATCAACTGTGGTATTTATATTTCTATAGATAGATTTAATTGATTCAGCTTAACAGATCATCATTTTGGGAAAAAGAAACTCTGAAAACTAGTGAAAATTTTAATTTATTTAACAGCAACACAGAGAAAACAACTTCTCCTTAATGTATGCATCATAATTAGTGCCATAATGATAGATGATTACTCAGTGAGAAAACCAGTAAATATGAGCTTTTATATTTTTTGTTTGTCTTATAATATTTTTAAGTACAGTCACATTGTTAGGAATTATATTGATGTTTTCTCATTGTTTTAAATGAGCCATAAGTAAGAAATTTACTTTAGATTTCACCAAAATCATTCTGATTTGTCATACGGGATGTAAGTAAAATGCTTTATATCGATGCTCTCCATTTATACTGTCTCATTCACATTTTTCTCCTTTGAAACATTGAGTTATGGGACTTACAGTAACTACTTTGGTGAGGTGTGTAGCACATATTTTATTTTTCTGGTTTCTTAGCAAATTATTTATGAAATTATGCAATACTGGGTGTCACTAGAACTCATTGCTCCTTTAAACTTTAGACCTGATGACAAAAGGGGAATACTTTTGTAAATACTTTTGCAAAGCATGGTATAATTAGATACATTTTCTAAATGTAGCAAAGAGAAAATCTCAGAAGGAAGTTGTCTCTCAATTTGAAAATTGTTTTAAAAATTGTTCGTTTATCTAAAACATTTTCACTTTTCTTTCACTGCATCATTTATCTTTACCTCTCCTAAAAAAAATTGTTTATTGAGCAGAAGGGATTTTAATACCATTTAAATTTAAATACATTTATCTCTAAATCTTTTCTTAATTTCTTTCCCTCTAATTGGCGTTCTAAGTTTATTTTTTTTCCTCTCAAACTCTGTGTTTCACAAAACTTAGGCTACTTCATGCTTTGCACTAATTTGTGTATTTTTACAACTCAGTTATTTAAGACTCAGCTATCATTCCACCCACCATGTTTTTTTTCAGACTCTGAATTCATGAGGCAACAGAAAAATACAACAACAACTAACTAGAACAATTTGTCAGGCTATGACCCTAACCCCACCCCTATCACATTCTCACCAAGGGGTACTGTGTATCACGCACAGCTGTTTTTGTCTTTTAAAGCAAAGCTTTGCCACTGGGTGCTGCAGCGGTGACCTGTGGCGCTTGCAGCTCAGGCGCTCTGTTTCCAAGCAGAAACTTGCTTGCTGGTGAGCAGGGGCTGTGCTGCTTGCTGTCAGCAGCCAATCAGAGGCCGCGGGTGTGTTTGGGCAGGTAGAGCCACGTTGCCAGGGGCTGGGTATATAAAGACTGTCTGTATTCGTATGTGTGTGAGTGTGCATGCACAAGTGAGTGCCCACATTATGATGTCCCCTTGGGCAACAGTAGAATTGATGAGGCAGCAGACCCATGTGTCCTGCCAATGTCATCCTGAAGGTGACGTAAGCAAGCATCGCTGCCTTCCTCTCTCTTCTTCCTGATAACTCTCAACCCACACTACACTGTCTCAAACTATTCTAGCTCATGCAATATCATCCATCCTCTATATCTATCCCCTCCATTCTTCTACTTTATCTGCTTTATTGCCCTGATCTGAATTTCTTTCAGTTTTCTCATCTTCTGCATTCTCTGTCCTCTCTGCTGTTGGTGTCCTTGAAAGGTTTAGTGCCTTGGCTATACAGCTGCTACAGGGTGAAAAGCAAAGGGGAGGGAGAAACCTGTGGGAGAAGTCCTAGATCTTTTAGGGCTGTGTATTTTAAAACAGAGGATGTTTTTAATTTGGCTCAAATTGTTCAAAAATACTGTGGCATAAACCGATAAACTGCATTATTGTTAAGCCGCATGAAAACATGTGATGCAAGAATGGATTCCATTTATTTCTACAAAGAAAATTTTAAATCTGAAAAGTGTGGCTTCCATTTGTTTCTGTCCCCTCTGAAACAATACTTCCAGAACCAATATTTGCTGCTAATGTAGCTGCAAGTCTTGAAACTTTGAAACTGTGTTTCGCCAGAAAGTTTAAACTGGAAGTTTGACCTTTCTGGAGAGTTTGTAAAAAGAAGCACCAAACGTTTGTGAAAGATTCACAGATTGTATTTATACCGTGGACTAAATCCTTCAAACACATGTGTGTTGATTTAATATCTACTCCATTGTAGTTAGGGCTGTATGTTTAGCAGTGTCAAGACTTTTGCAGCCTGTTACTGGTTTTCTTCCAGTGCTGCCCCAACACCACTTTTGTGCCTTGGGAAGTTGTGCTCCCCCTGCATTTTGGATGATGGACTGAACTGGGCTTACTGATGTTTAAGGCTTTGGATTTTCTTTTATAACCTTTAATTCTCAGTATTATTTCAAAAGAATCTTTTATATACTTTAGTCTTATATAAAACCTAAAGGGTTACTTCTTATGCAAACAAATGAAATGCCTCAGGGGCCAAAATTCATCTTTTTTTGCAAAAATACTGAATCCTCCTCATATCTCTCTATTTTTGCTTTTAAACAGCCAAACTTTCTCTTGCCGAGTTTATCCATCAATTTTCCGCCACGCTTATCCCAGCTGCGGTGCTGAGGGGTGCTGGTGCCTATCTCCAGCTGTCTATGGGTGAGAGGTGCACCCTGGACAGGTCGCTAGTCCATCCCAGAGCAACACAGAGACAAACGGGGCATACAAACATTCATACACTCACACCAAAGGAGAATTTAGAGAAGCCAATTAACCTAACAGTGGTGTTTTTGGATTGTGGGAGGAAGCTTAACAACTCCCCATTACTAAGGAATGGACATGTTCTTTTGGGTTAATTTGCATGTTTTCTAAGCCAAAACAAGGCTTTGTTTGGGCTACTCTATAAAGCTTGGAACTCAAGGCTAACCCAGACATTTTGAATTGAAAAAAAAACCCTTCCTAGTTGGGAAGTGAAACGTCTTCAAACTTGGAAAACAAAGTCCAGTGTTTTTTGTTTTTTTAAAAAACGTTTTCAACTTTTTTGGAAGTCAATGGGAGTTAAACTTGTCAGAGGAGAATGTGTGTGTATGGATGCGTGGTCAAGTGTTTGTTAAATTATGGAGAGAGTTTACTGTAAAGTCAATTCCCAGGATAATAGTACTTTGTGAGGATTTTCAAGTACCATTATCCCTACTAGGGATACTAGTAAGTAAAACCCAACTGGTGTGGACTAGTTGATTGGTCCCTATGAGAAAAGGTTATGTTCTTGGAGGGTTGGTTTAGGACTAAGGTGTTAATTGAGTTAAGGTTAGATTTAAGTTTAGGCCTTACAAATGAAGGCGAAAAGAATGAAATTCAATGAAAAGTTCCAGTAAGAAAGTGAGATGCAATGTGTGTGTATGGGCATTTGCTAATTTTTAAATACATTTTCAGAGGAATGTTTTAGCTATAAGTTAAGCTCCAGAGGTTGAACCTAGTGATCAGTCAGGCATCAAAAGGCTCCAGAATTGGAGGTTAGTAAACACTGAACAACAGCTTATCATTAGATGCCTTTACATTAACCATTAAATTGCGCAAATTGTAATTAGGAAAATAAATTGGCTAAATAGAAAATATGCAATTTCAAAAATGCTCTTTTTCTTTGATAAAAAGTTGTTATGCTTCGATTGGATGGTTTTTCAGTCAAATAAAAAAACTTTATAATATCAAACTGCAACGGAAACACTTTTTTTTTTCAACATATGAGTGATATTTGCAGCTGGACCTTACTGGATTATAAAAAGAAAAAAAAGAAGACCAACAGTAGCTGAAGGACGATAGCTCCTACTCGAGCCGTGGCTAAAATATGGATACATCTCATGTTTACATCCACCACTACCAGAGTTTGCGCATAAACAAACATATTCACATCCTTTTGTGATTGTTATTTGTCATGTAATGGAAATACTACAATTGCGAAACAACATTTTCAAATTTTGAAAAACATTGACAAAATTTCTCAGCTATTGAAACCTGAATATCTGTATTTTTATTTCTATTTAAATACCAAATGTAAACACGCATAAAAAGAAAGTAATCATCTGAAGAAGCACCACGTAACATCTGAAAGATGCAACATCTCACATTTAATTTATGATATTTGCTGAATTTCTTTATTGTTTCTTAAGACATTAATTTCTGAAACTTTGCATTTCATAAACTCTTCAGAACGACTGATTAAGACCTTTTTAGAGCCATCTGAAACTCTGACTCTTTGGTAAAGAAGTATGTAAAGAAAGGTAATTTAAAACCTTAACATATTTATGAACATTTGCATCAGATCTAGGCTCATAGAAATCCTTTTTTAAAATTATATATGTTCCTCTTATCCCAGCTGTGGGTTTATCTTTTGCAGAGAGTAGAAAAGTGCATTTCTCAGAGCTCTTTTTTCTGACCAGTAGTCTGATTTTCCTTTTTAAGGAGGATTAGTATTTTAGCTGAAGATGTGTGTATTAAAAAAGAGTAAAAAAGAAGAGCAGGCTGTGGCGCTCTGGCTGATGCTGCTGGGTGGATTTGCCACGCCGACAGACAGGACTAAAAGTGACCTTATAATCATTTTGAGGGTGTTAGCAAAATAAGACTGCTGGTAGTGTGTAACAGTCGCAGTGTGAAGGTTTCAGTTTCAACCCAGAGGTTATGTTAGGATATATTAATAGAGTATTTAAGTGCAGTAAAGTTGCTCTGGTGCAGATTTTGTGGTATTCAGACAATGCAACATAACAAAGTGGAGGTAAACCATACA